CTGTTTTTCGGAGGGAAACATCTTAATGCTGTCACACCCCTTTACAGTCAGCAGTACAACTTCGTCCCCAGACCTTGAGTTGCTGCTTTTAGTCTTACCGTTCTCCAATCGACCTGCCTGGCATGGTGGGTCGGGTCATCTTTATAGGCAAACCCGACCATCACGTCAAGGTAAGATCTACGGTCAGAATTCATTAAATTCATTGATGTTGTTTACTCGAATCTTCTCATTGATGTTTAGGACTGCAAATAATTAGTTTCTTATTGTCATATGTACAAAGTGTGCGTATTGCCTCGATGATGCGTAGCATTGGAATCCAGGACGCGCGTTTCATCACTATCTATCTTTGCTTATAATGCTTGTCACTTAGTGGCAACATCGAGGCAATCCGCACAGGAAGTACATATTCCAATAAGAGACTGATCCATTATTATTATTATTATTATTATTAATAGCTTTATTCAATATTATATTATTGGTACAATATAGAATTCTCAGCACAAAGTATTTCAACAAGTTTCCGTTTCTTTCTTCTTGGTCGGTCCTCGCGATAAATACTGAGTGGTCGCCAGCTAGATGTTATCAGTCCAGTAAATGAACATGGGAATGATGTACATTCTTTCCGTTGCAGTCTTAAACATCAATCGAAAGATTCAACTAAATAATACTAACTGAATTTAAATTTTACCCCATTACACAAGCAATTGTCTATCAGGACCCAATAATGTGATGGCATTTGAAGCGAACGGTACTGTATTCGAATTGCAAAGTGAACATCAACCCTGAGATGTAAGTAACTTCGGCTGACAAGTCGGAAATCGAACAAAATTCACGTTCTGATATTTCACTGTTAACCACTCTCCATCTTTATTTCATTCATGAAAATCTTTAAATAAATTTAATACATAACAGTATTAATTAGACAAAACCAAATGCCAAATTCCATATCTCTATCTATGTGACCTACAACCAAATTATTTACAATTTATAAACATAATTTAGAATATTATAATTAACAAATTGTATAATATTTTCAATGTTTATTTATATATATAAATGAAAGAGAGAGAGAGAGGGAGGGGGAGAGGGAGGGGGAGAGGGAGAGAGAGAGAAAAAAACGGTAATCGGAATGATTTACTAAAAACAAAAAAAACTTATTACATAATCAGTAACATTTACTTTATAGTAATAAAAAATAATAATAATAATAATGAAAAAATCTATTACATTTAGGAATATTTAAATTGAAATATTAATGAAATTACTTAAATGGCAATAGCAACAACAACAACAACAAAAAGATTAGTCTATTTATTACATTGGGATATAAATCATTATGTGAAATAACAATAATGTACAAATGATAGAAATAGAAATAGAATAAGGCTGTTCTATGGTACCTTAAATCTTTTTTTTCTTTTTTTCTTCTTTTTCTTCTTTTATTTGAATTATGCAATTAAGTAGTATGAGAATATAATAGATTGTAAATGTCAAATATTTCTCATTATAATAAATATATATTAAAGTATTTAGTTTATTAATATAGAACAATTAAAGTTGTATTTAATATGCATACGTTATAAGAAAACTTATAGTGATATATAATAAGTAGGATGAAGATTATGACATAACCAACCATAAAACATAGACAAATAGGTAGATAGATGTGTGGATAGATAGATAGATAGATAGATAGATAGATAGATAGATAGATAGATAGATAGATAGATAGATAGATAGATGTGTGGATAGATAGATAGATAGATAGATAGATAGATAGATGTGTGGATAGATAGATAGATAGATAGATAGATAGATAGATGTGTGGATAGATAGATAGATAGATAGATAGATAGATAGATAGATAGATAGATAGATAGATAGATAGATAGATAGATAGATAGATAGATAGATAGATAGATAGATAGATAGATAGATAGATAGATAGATAGATAGATAGATATGAGAAATGTTATGAATAAGGTAGGTAAGACGATAGAATAGATAGTGATTAACAATGAAGTAATAATATAAAAATAGATGAAGTTGGTATGAAAATTTCTAGGATATATATTCTTCTAGAAAGCAATCACAATTATTATTTATTTAATAGTTAAATTCATGGGTCAATTGAAACTAGATCGCCATGAAAAACCTCGAAGCACTGGATGGCTGTTTCGTCTTATTGTGGGACTCCTCATCAGTGCTCATTCACAATCCCATCTCGCAATATTCGAACCTAGGATCTACCAGTCTCGCGCGTGAACGATTAACCTCTACACCATTGAGTCGGCCGGCATCCAATGGTGTTAATATCTAACTCCAACTAATCCACGTAATTGAGCGACACATCCATCATTGTGTTCAGTGAGTTACTACCTCACAACAGACCCAGTTGAACTTCACTCATCACTGCTTCTCATTAGAAGTCCAGGAAATACCTCTTGAAGCCAGTCACTAGTGAGTTCAATTTCGTGGACTGGATGCCAGTTGACACAGTGGTGTAAAGGTTAAGATTTCGCGTGACAGATCGATAGGTCTTAGGTTCGAATCACGTGGGATGAGATCGTGGGATAACTTAGTGGTAACATCTCTGACTGTGATGCTGGGTAACATGGGATCAAATCCTTCAGGGAGTATCAGTTCCCTAACCATTACATGTACACCATACTGATGTGTGCCAAGTAGCACGAAACCTAGGTTCAGGGTTTTCTGTTGACTACCTGCAACCACCATCTTATCTCAATATGTGTACTGTAAATTGCTGTAAGCATTTCCAGAAAACTATATTGAGTTGTGATTTGTAACAGTATTTCGCCAATAATATGATTAATAACTGATAATGGATAATTAAATTGACATTATAAGTGATATGAAAAAATACATGATTATATAACTTAGTTGTGAATTGGTTTATGGGAAAATTATACAGACATTTATGATAACAATTCCTCTTTATAAAAAACATTGTTAATTTCAGTTTAATTAAATGGTTACTGTAAAGTGTATCCTAATCGCTTTTAGTGTCTTTCTTTAATTCCCTCTTCAACTAGCAGCTAGTTTGTTCTCTGTTACAGTTGATTATAGCTGATAGCCTATTTTCATTGGTTTTGTAGTATCATATGTACATAACTGTTTATAAATACTTTTACTTTATTAGTGACAGTAAACATACTTTTCCAGGTCTAGTATCATACAATTGAACAGCAGTTGGATAGAACTAGAAAGTAAGGCTTAAGACAGAGTGGGATAGAGAATGCTGGTCGGCGACCTATGCTCCATTGGGAGTAAGAGGAGTAAATAAGTAAGTAAGTATCATACAATGACATTGTGTTTAAAGATGGTATTGAAAATTAGAATTTCTGTTCTTATATCTGTAGCAGATTCTTCGTGTTTATCGATCCATTCATACTATTATTTAGTTACTAATTGGTTTGTTGTACTTGATCAAATAAAGAAGAAGAAAACAAACCTTCACATTTAAATGGACATTTATGAAGTCGGAAATATGAATAAACTTTAAAAGATAATTATCTATCCATCTATTTTAAATGAAATTCCGCTCATTGTAAAAGCTAATATGGTTTAGAGATTAGGGGATATGAGGCATGTATTTACAATACATGATTATAAATTAAAGATTACTAATGGTAATAATAATCATGATAAATGTATAATGGATTTGATCAATAATAAATATAGTCCAATCCGTGTCGGATTGAGAGAGTTATCTATTTCAAACAATAGATGAAGGATTGCTCAATATCATGGATTGGTTAATGGTAAACATTAACACCGTTAGATGTCGGCTCAGTGGTTTACAATTTAAGCGTTCACTTGCCAGACCTAAGATCCTAGGTTTGAATCCCATGTGTGGAAACATGGATACACATTGTTGAAGAGTGCCATACTAGGATGAAATGGCCATCCAGTGTTTTCAGTTTTTCAGTGATGGTCTAGCTTAGATCGATTCATGAAGTCAACTATTAAAATACTAGAAATCCTCATTCAGAGAATATACATTACTTATCTAAAATTACTTCATTTATAAACATTTCCCATCTTTTTTACCGATAAGAATGAACAAACTTGTATATTATATGTAGCTGTAATAACATAAGGATAACACTTAATAACGTTTAATATCAGGAGATATGAAGCTGAGAAAGTACTTGAAAAAAACACACATAAAAGTTAATAGATCAGATATACTTGTTAATCAGTGAGTGAAGCTTGTTAAGTTACTAGTCCGAAGCAAAGATGGATAGTGGCTACTAGGGAGTTGTCAGCTGAAGTTACCTACATCTCAGAGTTGATGTTCACTTTGGGACTTGAATCTAGTACCGCTCGCTTAAAATGCCATCGTGTTATCCACTTAGCTATTGAGTCTTGATAGCCACTTGTTTGTGAAATCGGTTGAAGTTATGTTCACTCGTTGTTATTTAATTTTATGTTCCGATTGTAATTTAGGACTGCAGTGGATCAATCTCTTATTAGCATATATCTATCTTGTGCGAACTGCCTCGATATTGCCTTACATCACAAGTATTATAAGCAAAGACGGACAGTCGTTAAGTCAGAAATTGAGTAATTTTGTCAATATTCTGAGAATAGTATTCATTTAATATATTATACATTGTAATATTTTTTTATTATTGAAGGCAATATTCAATATATGTTAAAGCGGTATATGTATACTTGACGATGAGCCATTCCTGTTATACATAAAAAAACATGGGCTTAAAAACTCTGTGTAAAATGTGTTATATATCTAAATTTATATCAAATTATTTCTTAATTTGAACTCTGTGATTAATTTATTTCCTTCAAACAATATTCCTCTATATTTGAGAATGATCATAAACCAGGAACTACTAGATACCTATTTCATCTAAGTATGGAAACGGCTAACAGTAAGCATTCACCAATTCATCGGAGATAGAAACCAGAACCTTCAGAACTGGTATGCCTATTAGACTATTTAAAGGTTATCTAATGGCTTAAATAGTAGTAGTAGTAGTAGTAGTAATAGTAGTAGTAGTATTATTATTATTATTATTATTATTATTAGTAGTAGTAGTAGTAGTAGTAGTAGTAGTAGAAGTAGTAGTAGTAGTAGTAGTAGTAGTAGTAGTAGTAGTAGTAGTAGTAGTAGTAGTAGTAGTAGTAGTAGTAGTAGTAGTAGTAGTAGTAGTAGTAAAACGTACTTGCATAATCTCATTAAACATGATATCAGAAGTACACCGATACACACCAATAGATTATGTTTCGAGAAAAATGAAGGTCAAATTATTCATCATTTATTCAAGCTGTTTATTTATTTAATTATACATAGTTTACTAGTAATTGTTATTCATTATTTACATTCTGAAATGTATTATTATTATTAATATGTTTTCCCCTAACTATTAATCATATGCAATTTCACTTATCTACCTACTTGCTGCCTTACTTACTTACTTACGCCTTTTACCCTTCATAGAGAAGCATAGGCCGTTCACCAGCTTTCTCTATTCCAACTCCTATATCCTAGGCAACAACATTATATATATATATATATATGCATATATCATTCCGACTAATATCAACTATCTTTAAAATGAATGAAATTTCATTTATAGTAAATAATGATCTTATCTAATTGATTATCAAAATAGGATCAAAATATCTTTTTAAGCAAAGATGCTTATTTGTATTAATGTTTATATATTACTTATGACTTGTATACAATTCATATATTGTATTAGCTTTATATGGTTAAACAGATGGGTAATTCTCTTCTCTCTCTCTCTCTCTCTATCTCTCTGTTTTTGATTGATAGTATTTACTACAATCAAACAAACAAACTGGTTAGTAACATTAAATAATGAACATTTAATTATAATGTTTATATCCATTATATAATTATACCGCCAAACTTAAATGATGTACACTGATTCTTATTATTTGAAATTATGGGCATGACATAAATAATTAAATTTGTTTGTGTACATTAAGCTCGTGGGGTTTTTTTTGTTTTTCTTTCTGCCTTTTTTTGTGTGTTTTTTTTTTCAATGTTTATAATTGGGTTTTTTTAACGTTTTGATTGTATGACATTTAAAGTACAGAAAATGATATGGCGTCATATCAGTTTATCAGAAGGATGGAGGGAGGAGGGTTTGTGGAGGTTTTTAGTAATTTCAGTAGTTGAATTTATGAGACAATTGGAGCTAGACTACCATAGATCATAGAGAAATACTCATTGGACAACCGTTTCGTCCTAGTGTATCTGATGAAGTCATTGATAAATAAACCAATTTCAATAGTGTAATAAGAAGATGAAGATTATCAGAACTATCTGATGATATATTAGCGCAAAACATTTCGAACAATCGAATCACACATAATACATTTGTTTAGAACATTTATATAAATAAAGAAATAAAAGGTCGTCTAATCTACAAATGGAGGTTAAGAGGAGACAAGGATAATAAAGAAAATAATATGGAAACAATTTGAAACTTCATCACTTTGGATAATAAGGGTAGATTTAATGTGAAAACAAACTGTTTTTGAATACACAAAGGGGTTTTGAATTTTCGTATGCTTAAGGCTTTAATAAACCTTAGTATACTCCCTTTTACACTTTTATACAACACCATAAAATCCGAGCTAATATCAATCTTATCAACTAAATTCACTTACTATTGTTTATTAGTATCTTCTGATTATTATTTAGGACTGCAATTGGTCAGTCTCTTGTTGACATATGTGCATCCGGTGTGGAATGCCTAGTTATTGCCTTAGGTCATAAGCTTTATAAGCAAAAATAGATGGTGTTTAGCACTGGAATCTAGGACGCGCTTTTCATTTTGCTTGGTATTCGTCAGCTGGATGTTCCTGCACCTCAGAGTTGATGTTCACTTTGTGACTCAATTAACGATAGTACCAAAATATTTACTTGATGTTATTCAATAATACTATCGCTTAACTACTAAACTGAGTTCTTTTCATACAAACTTATAATGAAACGATCTTAATAGTGTTACCTTTAAAATACTATTTTTCTTTTAAAAATTGTATAATCCATATTCTAATCAACCTTAATTTATCAGATTTAATCTGATTAAATGTTAAAACTTCAAATGAATATCCTCAGTAACATCATTGAAAATACATTCAACTTATGCAATGAATTTCTATTCCAACTCCCAGAAAAATATTTTAAACAATAAGATCAAAGTATTAATAGAGTATTATTATAAATATAGCATGTATAATATTTTAACTTCACTTGTAGCTCTTCTAGAGTTACTGCCCTGTCCTTACCCCGGGTAAAGGAGGAGGGTTGGGCATGGGGTCAGCAACCCCATCCCGTAGAAAACTAATTCGCTGAAAAAACGCTAACCGGAAAGAATATTTCAGTAATGTATAATATTGTATTTCGATTCTTACTTTATTATGTATACGATTGATGCATTACAGAACTAAACTGTTCTTCATATATATTCAGTTGGTTGCATATATTATTGATTTTAATAGTTGAGATCATAAGTTAATTAAATCTAGACCACCATGGAAAACCTAGAAGGATTTGACAGCCATTCCATCCTATTGTGGGACTCTTCGTCAGTGCGCGTCCACAATCCTGCCTTATGAGATTCAAACCCGTCCGTCCAATACTTCCAGGTTTTCCATGATAATCTAGCTTTAATTTACTCATGATCTCAACTAATAAAATTACTATAATATCCACAAAACACATTCTGATATTACCCAGCATATGCTCACCAGTAACTAGTTTCAACAGATATATCCTGGAGTTCTGGCAAGAGGCAGTGATCAGTAGAGTTCAACTCGGGTCTGTTGTGAGATAGTAACTCACTGAACACGATGATGGATGTGTCGCTCAATTTCGTGGATTGGTTAAACTTAGACATTAACACCATTTGTTGCTGGCCAGCTCAGTGGTCTAATGGTTAAGAGCTCGCACACGAGACTAATAGATCCTGGGTTCAAATCTCGAGGAACGGGATCTTGAATGCGCAATGCTGAAGAGTCCCACAATATGACGAAAAGGTCATCCAGTGTTTCAAAGTTTTCCATAGTGATCTAGCTTCAATTGCACTCATGTTCTCAACTATTAAAACCACTATAATATCCACAAAAAAACCCTTTGTGATATAATATTGAGTTAGATATTCTTTTCTTTTGAAATGATACTCCTCAGAAATATTTTATGATTAAATTTTATTTTCGTGTGTACCTGTAACTTAAATTTTTTTTTAAAAAAAAAGGCAACTGAAAAGTTTAGTATCTATGCTAAAGTCTGTATATCCTAGTTTTAGTTACATACCAACTATATATGGTTCATACAAAAACCAAATATACTACTTACCCATATATATATATATATATATATATATATATATATATATATATATATATATACATTGCGTGCGCACAATGTATGAGGAAAAGATATGAACTATATGTTACCTGCTGTCTTCCATAATACAAAACTGATATCCATAAATCAAATGTTGATTTCACATGAAATAAAGTATGTTGAAATAATGTTAAAAAATACTCACATAGGAAACTCATGCAATGTTAAAGGATGTTTATGATGATAAGTTACTAAAGGAAATACTTTTTTTTTTTAAAAGAAACATGTTTCAGTGTTAATTTCAGAGATTTTTGAAGGAAAAGAAGAAGAAGAAGAAGAAGAAGAAGAAGAAGATGATGATGATGATGATGATGATGATGATGATGATGATGATGATGATGATGATGATGATGATGATGATGATGATGATGATGATGATGATGATGATGATGATGATGATGATGATGATGATGATGATGATGATGATGATGATGATGATGATGATGATGATGATGATGATGATGATGATGATGATGATGATGATGATGATGATGATGATGATGATGATGATGATGATGATGATGATGATGATGATGATGATGATGATGATGATGATGATGATGATGATGATGATGATGATGATGATGATGATGATGATGATGATGATGATGATGATGATGATGATGATGATGATGATGATGATGATGATGATGATGATGATGATGATGATGATGATGATGATGATGATGATGATGATGATGATGATGATGATGATGATGATGATGATGATGATGATGATGATGATGATGATGATGATGATGATGATGATGATGATGATGATGATGATGATGATGATGATGATGATGATGATGATGATGATGATGATGATGATGATGATGATGATGATGATGATGATGATGATGATGATGATGATGATGATGATGATGATGATGATGATGATGATGATGATGATGATGATGATGATGATGATGATGATGATGATGATGATGATGATGATGATGATGATGATGATGATGATGATGATGATGATGATGATGATGATGATGATGATGATGATGATGATGATGATGATGATGATGATGATGATGATGATGATGATGATGATGATGATGATGATGATGATGATGATGATGATGATGATGATGATGATGATGATGATGATGATGATGATGATGATGATGATGATGATGATGATGATGATGATGATGATGATGATGATGATGATGATGATGATGATGATGATGATGATGATGATGATGATGATGATGATGATGATGATGATGATGATGATGATGATGATGATGATGATGATGATGATGATGATGATGATGATGATGATGATGATGATGATGATGATGATGATGATGATGATGATGATGATGATGATGATGATGATGATGATGATGATGATGATGATGATGATGATGATGATGATGATGATGATGATGATGATGATGATGATGATGATGATGATGATGATGATGATGATGATGATGATGATGATGATGATGATGATGATGATGATGATGATGATGATGATGATGATGATGATGATGATGATGATGATGATGATGATGATGATGATGATGATGATGATGATGATGATGATGATGATGATGATGATGATGATGATGATGATGATGATGATGATGATGATGATGATGATGATGATGATGATGATGATGATGATGATGATGATGATGATGATGATGATGATGATGATGATGATGATGATGATGATGATGATGATGATGATGATGATGATGATGATGATGATGATGATGATGATGATGATGATGATGATGATGATGATGATGATGATGATGATGATGATGATGATGATGATGATGATGATGATGATGATGATGATGATGATGATGATGATGATGATGATGATGATGATGATGATGATGATGATGATGATGATGATGATGATGATGATGATGATGATGATGATGATGATGATGATGATGATGATGATGATGATGATGATGATGATGATGATGATGATGATGATGATGATGATGATGATGATGATGATGATGATGATGATGATGATGATGATGATGATGATGATGATGATGATGATGATGATGATGATGATGATGATGATGATGATGATGATGATGATGATGATGATGATGATGATGATGATGATGATGATGATGATGATGATGATGATGATGATGATGATGATGATGATGATGATGATGATGATGATGATGATGATGATGATGATGATGATGATGATGATGATGATGATGATGATGATGATGATGATGATGATGATGATGATGATGATGATGATGATGATGATGATGATGATGATGATGATGATGATGATGATGATGATGATGATGATGATGATGATGATGATGATGATGATGATGATGATGATGATGATGATGATGATGATGATGATGATGATGATGATGATGATGATGATGATGATGATGATGATGATGATGATGATGATGATGATGATGATGATGATGATGATGATGATGATGATGATGATGATGATGATGATGATGATGATGATGATGATGATGATGATGATGATGATGATGATGATGATGATGATGATGATGATGATGATGAATGTAAATGGGAAATTTGTTTGAAAGAGTTACCGAGTTATCATCGTCGTCGTCTTATATTTTCATCATCATCATCATCATCATCGTCATCGGGAATTATTCAGCAGTTTGATTTAACAGCAACAGATAAAAGTGATCTTTACTATGATATGACCATTGATCAGAGGTTGTTCACTTGTGTTAATAGTTTGTGAAGAAAGATTTATAACTAAGTCTTACACTCGAAATTATGATGATTTCTGACTTGCGTATATCAACTATCGTGGAGGAGCGTAGTCTACCTAACAGCACTCTCCATCCAACTCTGTCATGGACAATACTTTACCGTTTTTCTGTTCAGTCGCAATTTATCCCGTTGATACCTACTCCTAATTTCCGACACAATGTGTTCCATGGTATTCTCCTTTTTCGTTTCCTTTCACGATTTCAGGTAGTAAGCGCTTGACTCGTGATGCAGTTTGGTCATTTTCGTAATGCATGTCCTATCCACCAACCCAATAGTCACTCCCTAACTTCTTTCTCATTTCGAACCTGGTTTGTTATCTCGCACAGTAGACTGTCACTGATGTTTTCCATCCAAAGGACATTGAGTATCATACGTAGACAGTTGTTTATAGCTACTTGTACAGTTTCGATGAATATTGTGGTAATTGTGGAAGTTCCAACTCCGTACAGTAGAACTGACTGTGTTGACGTTCATATTGAAGATTATGACTTTGGTATTGACTAGCTCGTTGACGTTCTTCCTTCCACATTATCCATGTTTTTTTATCACTCAATTTCTTCAATTTAACTTGTATTTTTCGATATATAAATGCCTTAACATGTGAACGTGTGATTACAATTTTTCAAAGTGTATTACCCCTATCTAACAAGTGCATAGATCTAATAAATCTCGTCTCCTGATCGGATTAACTGGATTTACCAATAAAACTAACAGTTTAAGCCTTGAGTTCTGTAGTTATAAAGTGATAACGCACTTCTTTTTTTACGTGTTATCTGATAAATATTAATAAGCAGTGTGTGGTTGTAGAGATTGTTAAGTTTTTGATTGAGATCATGAACTGATTGGTGTGAGGCCACTGCTGAAAACCCGAATTGGTTAAGATTAGATAGTAACACCTTTGGATGCTGTCACAGTGGTCTCAATAGTTCGCGCGCAAAACCGAAGGCTCTGGGTTTGTATCCCGCTGGCGGGTTCATGGATGCGGACTGTTGAAGAGTCCCACAATAGGACGAAATGGCTGTTCAATGCTTCCAAGTTTTCAACAGTGGCCTAACATCAATCGGTTCATGATCTCAATCAAAACTATTTATAATCATTTTAATAAACTATCTAATAATACTTATTACAGATTATTTGCATTATCCATATTCTTTTTCACTTCGTAAAAAAGAACTGTTCAATAAATTCCTATAACAATTGTCTATTATACCTCAATTCAATTATAAGTTTTAGAATTAGTTAATTGAAATCTTGATTGACTGATTGAATAAGTAATTAATTAATCAATTAATTACTACACAATCAATTGGGAATAACTACTTTGTAAAGTAATTAAAAAATTTATAATTACATAACTTGCTATACACGGATTACATATCGATAAATTAGGCCAATCAAAAGTTAGCAAACGACAAATGCATGTGATTGGCTAAGAAATGGTTTTATAATCCTAAAGATAAGACATGAGTCAGTGATATATATATATATATATATATATTAGATCATAACCCATAGAACTAACCATCAATAGATGACTCCAAACTTGTAGCGCACAGATAATAACAAATGTATCTGTTAGTTAGTTAGTTAGTTAGTTAGTTAGTTAGTTAGTTAGTTAGTTAGTTAGTTAGTTAGTTAGTTAGTTAGTTAGTTAGTTAGTTAGTTAGTTAGTTAGTTAGTTAGTTAGTTAGTTAGTTAGTTAGTTAGTTAGTTAGTTAGTTAGTTAGTTAGTTAGTTAGTTAGTTAGTTAGTTAGTTAGTTAGTTAGTTAGTTAGTTAGTTAGTTAGTTAGTTAGTTAGTTAGTTAGTTAGTTAGTTAGTTAGTTAGTTAGTTAGTTAGTTAGTTAGTTAGTTAGTTAGTTAGTTAGTTAGTTAGTTAGTTAGTTAGTTAGTTAGTTAGTTAGTTAGTTAGTTAGTTAGTTAGTTAGTTAGTTAGTTAGTTAGTTAGTTAGTTAGTTAGTTAGTTAGTTAGTTAGTTAGTTAGTTAGTTAGTTAGTTAGTTAGTTAGTTAGTTAGTTAGTTAGTTAGTTAGCCAGTCAGTCATTGAGAAACTCTGAATTTGTATTTCGTACCAGTTGTCACTTGTTAGCATAGGGTGATTGAATTAACTCCAGCTGCCACAAAACCTGGATCCAAGTTATCCTGGAGATTGAACAAAACCACTTTACTTAGAAACCGATTATACTCTAAGACTAAGTCAGTTTAAGGGGATTGATAGTTTGGTATCTAATCAACGGGATTCAATTCACACTCAATGATCAATCACTGTAAGTATGTCAATACATCAGTTTATCTAAGTGTTGATTCTATCTCTATTAAATCTCTGTTAATTGCTTTAGTGTAAACTATAAAACAAAGCAGTTTTTTGAATAAAAAGAAAAACAATTCACCTACAGATTTTAACAGATTTCATAGAAATTCCTTAACAACAACAAAAAAGAAAGAGGGACAAAGAGAAAAAGAAGAGCGAAGCTACATTTAACTATCAAATTTTTCATAGTTTGTTTTCAACAACAACAAAAAAGTAGATCTGATCAACTATATAGATGGATCATTCTTAAAAACTTTTCTTTATTTTTATAAAAATACTTTTAAAGCAGATGTTACAAAATTCCCTGTAAGTAATTTGATAATAATTGCCTTTCATTAATCGATCTTTAAAAACATTTTAATGTTGATGGATAGTTTGGTCGTGGAGCTTTCATCGTCATTCTGAATGACTTCATCAGTACAAAATTCAGGTAGAAGTAGATATCTGATAATGTCGTTCAAAAGAATGATAAAACCTCCACAACTAAACCATCCAGCTTAAAGAAGAAAAAACTCCATTGAAATCATCCACTTAAGTTATAAATCTTCTTCATAATTTCAATAGATTGATCTGTTTTAAATTTAACATTACATATATGAACATAACTACCAACTACTGTTGGTTATTTAGACATTAGATAAATTATAGATGATGATAAGATGACTTTTTTTCTAATTTCCTTTACTTTGTTTCCATCTAAACAAGTAAAAAGTGTGTGTGTGTGTGAGAGAGAGAGAGAGAGAGAGTAAGAGACACACACAGAAAAATATGTTTCAAACTAGCATTAACATGTGAAGATAAGCCTAATTTATCAGGTTATGACTGTTTTCTTTTTCGTTTAATTCTATCTTGTTAAAATAACTGTAACTCCGCCTGAGGCCCCTCTGAGGCTACTGCCAGTTCCAAGCCCGGATAAAAGAGGAGGGTTGGGCATGGATGGGGTTATCGACCACATCCCGTAGAAATCTAACGCGCTAAAAAATACCGACCAGAAAAATTTATTCAAATCATTTAAACTCTACCTTGGGAGTTGGAATTTCTTCATTTAGAAGTGTTATGACGCTTCATGGTGAAAGCCGAGTTCCTTCGGAGGTCACATGACTGATGCCTTTTCTGACAACTAGAGCAACCATTAATTTAGGTATATGGAATGTTCGTACAATGTGAGAGACCAGGAGAGTCATCCAAATTGCTGCATAAAAGAGGAGAAGAGGACCAAAGAACAAATTACGTCGAGAAATGAAGACAGATATGAGAAGAATGAACAAGAATTGGATAGAACTAGAAAGGAAGGCCTAGGACAGAATGGGTTGTAGAACTCTAGTCGGTGGCCTATCCTCCATTAAAAGTAACATGTGTAAGTAAGTAACTGGACATAAGGACAACCGACTTCATATAGATTCTTTATCACAAATTCATGTTATTAGTTGGCTTTAATATAAAAAAAATGCATCTATATACGTAGACGAACTATCTCTATCATAGCAATTTAAGACTGTTTGAATGTATCGCAAACAAAAACGTAACTAAATTAACCAGTAGGCTCTGGGTTCGAACCTCGCAAGGGGGGTGTGGATGCGTACTACAGAGGAGTCCCACAATGAGGTGAAACGGCCGTTCAGTGCTTCCAGGTTTTCCATGGTGATCTAGCTTCAAGTGACTCATGATCTTAATCGTTGAAATAAACATTTATTCAATGCTTTCTTATTAATGTATCAAGTTATTTATCATTATTCAAAATTTACATTTCATGCAGCTAAATAATCACATTGAAACCTAATTTATAAAAGTAAACAGAATATAAAATATGATGGATGGATTTTGTGTAAAGTAACCAAATATGATTGAAAGATCATTCATAGGTTTTTTTATAAGAAATATCATTATCATTATTAGATAGGACGTATAAACTTGTGTGGTCTTTCAATGTTGTTTAGATAAAAAGTGGTTTTCTTTTTCTTACTAAAACGGGTTATGGTATATTGTTACGGTTGTATGTTTTTTATGGTAAAACTCAGTTTTATTTCACCATTGATTGATCACTGGGTGGTGATCAGTGTCATGTATGTCTAGTCCTTATTTAGTGTAGATCGAATGCTATCGATCATGTTGCAATGTGGCCACCAGTCTAGGTGACTCGACATTGCGTGCACTATATATTGAGATTAGATGGTGGTTGGAGGTAGTCGACAGGAAATCCTGGACCCGGGTTTCGTGCTACTTGGCACTCATCAGTTCCCTCAAGTTTACAGGTACATCATACTGACGAGTACTAAGTAGCACGAAACCCGGGTCCAGGGTTTCCTGTCGACTACCTCCAACCACCATCTAATCTCAGTTTGGTTTCCCCTACCACTATCACCACCACACCAAAATGTTATTTTATTATATTTTCAGTTTCAGCAAACCATTTATCATCTCTTTACCAAATAAATCTATCGAAAATTATTTGATCAAAACTTTATCGTCAGTTCGATTTCATTAAAAG